TGACACAGGGGGGGGACAGGCCAGGCGGCGGCCCTCCTCGGCGGAACAAGGATGGGGACGACAGAACCAGCGTGCACAACACCCCAGCTGGGGTCAGAACAACCACACAGCTGACACAACGGCAACGCCGCGGCCCCGTGCCACAGGTGCCGAGGGCCCTGAGATGGCAGGGGCGGGACGGTTCCCCGCAGGTGCCAAGGGCCCTGACACGGGGGGCCGCGCCCAGCAGGCCCGAGTGCCGGACAACTGGCAGCACACCGCAACGCCGAGGAACACGCCCAGGAGGCAGCCGGTCCCACTTCCGGCGCCCAACATCATCAAGCAGGACCCGGTGGTTTTTCATAAGAGTTCTGTTGGGCTGAATGAAGGGGGCCAACGCTTTTCAGCTACCCCCCTGACAAGTCCCACGGAGCTGTCACCGGGAGGGGACACCTTCCCGTGGATGGAGAACATCCCGGAGCGCCTGGCACAGCGGCTGAGATGGACACAGGGCACATCGCCCAAAGTTCCATCCAGTGGGCCCATCATTGTCCTGCTCTATGCAGGCAAGGAAGACCCAACTTCCTTAGACAGCTGTCTTCATGCCAACTACCCGCACCTCTCCAGCATGGTGGTGGCAGTAGACATCCTACGATCGGACCAAAAGGGAACCACGACATGCTCCAACCCGAGCTGTATGGAGCGCTCTGCACGGCAGCAAAGCAGGGCCGAGTGGTCTTCATTGGGGGAGGACCCAACTGCAGGACATGGTCCATCCTGCGCCACATACCAAAACCGGGGCCCCCACCCCGGTGCGAGGACGCACTCGAGAGACACTTTGGGGCCTCCCACACCTGGACCAGGCCGCCCAGACTCAGCTTGATGAGGACAGTACCCTCATTTTGAGGCAGATGTACATCACCAGCCTGGCAAGGGCCTCAAGATCGGCGGCCTCGCTGCCAGGGCCAAAATCCTTCTTGGAGCACCCGGAGGACCCAGTGGTGAGCAGCTCGCTGCCCAAAGCCAAGGAATGCTCATCCTTCTGGATCACGGAGGAGGGGCAGATTTGGATGGAGGAAAACTCCTTGACAGCAATCTCCTTCGACCAGTGCCGCCTGGGCCAGCTGGTCAAGAAGGCCACCACACTTGCCACGGATCTCCCAATCCAGGACTGGGATCAAGTGCGGTGCACACATCAGTCACATGTGGGCACCAGCGAGTCCTCGACTCTCAGCAGATACCCCTGGGATATGATGGCAGGCCTGGCCAAAGCCATCGCTGTGTCACTCGCAGCGCCGGGGCACATCCGGATCCCCTCACAATTCCCGGGAAACCCTAAGGAACCACCTAAGGGAAGGGGGTCGGACCCCCCTGGGGGCCCTTCTCCCCGGGGGAAACGGGGACCCAATCAGGGAGGCGGTCCCTCCTCGTCACACCAGGGCCCAGAGCCCGGAGGCAAGAATGCCCCGAAGCCCCGCCAGCACGGGCACATCCACCATGAGGCTGACACCGTAAGCCCTCGTGGAACTATGAGTCCAGACTTCCCATCTCCCATGCCCCCGATGGCCGGAGATGCGGAACAACTGGAAAAGGAAGAACATGGGGACCAGGTCCTGGACCGCCCCGAATGCCTGCCCGCTTTCCGGGTCCCACGCCTCACTGACCGAGTTGCGATTGTCCAATTGGGTTTCCGTTCACGCCCCCTGAGAGATGGGGGGGGGAAACCTTCCCCGGGGAGGCTCAACCCCCCTTTTCGGAGAGTTTCCCCTTTGGCTACTTTGGGCGCCCTGATCATGACCCTTACCAGGCCCTGGATTGATAAGGTCCGGATGTCCCTGGCATCAGGTGCCACCACACACCCCTTCCAGGAAACCGACCTCGAGGAGCTGCGGGCTATCCTAGGACCGAGGCACCTCCATGAACGATGCCCAGGACAACCCTTCCTCCTGGACTTAGTGTCGCACTTGGCATCCCTTTCAGGTGACCCTGATTGGGAGTTCCCCCTGACACTGAAAGAGGGGGTCCTTTTGGGAGTCTCGGACCCTACCTTGACCTTTCCGGGAGTTTGGCCCACTAAGGAGGAGCTCAAGGGAGAGGCATGGCTGGGGGAAGATCCCCCCCCGCCAGTGGCTCATGATAACTACCCAACGGCTGAACTCTTTGCCAAGGAAATCGAATCAACCTTTTACGAGGAACGAGCCTTGGACATGGTGGACGGGCCCTTCACTCGCTCCGAGGCGGCAGAGAGGTGCCGCTGCAAACCGGAGGAACTTTGCCCGGGCCCCCTTGCAGGGATTGATGAGTCGGACAAGATCAGGACGATCTATGATGGCTCAAAAGGGGGAGCAAACGCACACATCCAGGCTCACACGGAGGAGAAGACCACCGCACCGATGGTTGGAGACTGCCTCCATGCCATCCACTGGCTCAGGACAGCGGCGGACCATCCTCATCTACTCCGAGCCCCATCCTCGGGCACTGATGAGGAACCTCGGGATGTTCACCAGCCGGTGCAGGGGCAGTCCCCAGGTGCCGAGGGCCCTGAGAGGGACCCCCACAGCACCAGCCTGCCCCCAGGTGCCGAGGGCCCTGATAGGGGCAGGCGGATGATGGAGACCTCCGGCGGCCTGGACGTCTCTCCGCGGTCAACACCCTCAGGGAAGGGGCCACTCCCAGGTGCCGAGGGCCCTGATAGGAGGGCCCCATTCCCCCCAACCCCCCAGGCACGGAACGCCCTGGGGGGAGCAGGGGGGAACCCCTGACGTGGCAGCCGCCGACACAGGGGGAAACCTTCATCATCCTCAAGGCGGATGTCACCAAGGCCCACAGGCGCATAAAAGTGCTCCAGAAAGACTGGAAATACCAGGTGGCCTGCATCCAGAACCGGTGGTGGGTCAATAGAGTGGGCACGTACGGCATGGCCTCGGCACAACTGTACTGGGGAAGAAAGGCATCCTTGGTGCTCAGACTCTTGTACTACATCTTCCCTCAGGTGGACTGGCACTTAGTTTTTGTGGACGACTACTGCTGGGTCCTCAGATGCAGCAGGGCGGACTGGGACGCCACAGCCATCCTGGCCACTCTTCTGGCGCTGGGAGTCCCGCTTTCTTGGAAGAAGACGGCGCTCTCCCCGGTCAATACCTGGTTGGGATTCGTGGTGGACCCAATCACGCCCTGTGTGCTGCTGGCTCCAGTCAAGCACGTCATAATCCTGGCCACTCTCAAACGGCTGGCCCAGGGGGACATCTTTACCAGCAAGGAGGTGGAACAAGCCTTGGGCCGGATTCAATGGGCTACTTCGGCGTGTCCATTGACGAAACCTTTCCTCCAGCCCTTTTGGAGCTGGAAGAAGGCCTGCACCACTTCGGGCAGGCCACCGAAGCTGGTTCGTGCTCTGGCCATCCTTCTGGGGAAGCTCTTCAACCAGAGGTTCCCACTGGCATCTCCATTTGCTCCCACACTTCCATGGACGGGGGCATCTGATGCGGGAGCTGGCAAACAGGCGGACCATGCATGGGTTGGTGGTTGGTGCTCGGACGTGCCCAACCCCGACAAGTCCCGAGTGAAGTGGTTCCAACACAGAATCACACCGGAGGGCGAGCCGTGGGCCTTCACTACTGGGGACCCGCAGCGGGCGATAGCGGCCTTGGAGCTCTTCGGCCTCCTCCTTTTGGTGAGGGCTGTTCTGCTTTGTGCAGCCGGCTCGGCTTCTCACACTAGGATTCTGGTTGCTAGTGATAACCAGGGAAACGTTTTCTCCCTGCTTAACGATTCCACTCGCAGGATGCCCAATGCGGCCATCCTCATGGAAATTGTGTTAACACTGCATGACCACCAGGTCATGTTAGGACCGTCGCATGTGAAGCGCGACTTTAACACATGGGCGGATGAACTTACTCATCCGGACCCGCAATTTCCGACTGAGAACCGGGTCTTCCCCTCAGTCGAAAGCGAATTGATCAAGCTGATCTTCGCTACTTTCCTTCCTCACCCATGATGCCGGGAGGGCATCCGGTGAGGTGGGAGGATTCCTCCCTCGCTGTGGGAGTGGCCTCAATCCTACTCCCATCAGCTGCTGAGGGGAGCTGCCCAGTGGAACTGGGCAATCCTCCCATTTTGGCACTAACCCTTATGCGGCAATAAAGGAGGCACCGTTTTGCGAATAAGGCCTCAGTAGCACCTGAGTGGTGCTTCAAAGAGTCCTGACGACCTCCCCGATGACGAGGAGCCGCTGCCCTATGCACACAGTGAAGGGCAGATTAGATGGCTCGCTTCGCTTAGCCCAGAATGGGCAACGGACCTTGCAGGATCAGCAGTAGAATTCAAATTCGGCACCAGGTTTCCCCTTCAGGTCATCCAATGGCTGCATCAGCAAGCCCAGACCTCCGAAGGACCAGTTTTCATTTCTTGGCTTGAATGCGCGATTGCGCTCAGGCTTGCAGGCGTAGCTTTTCCCAGCCCGGCACCCCACAAAGACGGTGCGATTTGGCGAGATCAGCCTAGCCTCTCCCATGCTCAATGCAATCTTGGTTCGGACATCCATGTGGTTCGCTTGCTTTTTCGGGCTTGTGCTTCCTTTTTCAACTTGGGCATTGGAGAGGTTCGAAGCCTCAATCTCTCAACCCTGGGAGTTGGACCACCACAGAGTGGCCTTACGCTTGAGCTGCCACGTTGTACCTTACACAACGTGGATCGTGCTCTTCGCACTTTTTGCGCTGGCAGGCCAATCCGAACGGCCAATGACCTAGCCAGACCTTTTAAGTAGGTTGCACCTCGACAGCGGCACAAGGCCGCGCCCGGATCAGGACGTGCCGCACTGCTCTGCCGTGCGCACGACTCGGAAGCGTGAGTGTGTAAGGCTTGGGAGCAAGGGCTGCTGGCGGCCTTGGACCGAACCCTTTGTGCCCCAAAAACGGAGGTTGCCGCAGGAATCGAGCCAGGCAAAACACGACGCACAAGTAAGCAAGGAGGGCAGAGGCGACTCCACGACTTTTGCGAACGAGAGTTGAAGCAAGCGCCAGGTGCAAGCTGAGGAAGGAGCCCTCCAGACGGAGCTTTGAGGATGAGCTGAGTTGGACGGTGCAGCAAATGGAGATGCATCGGCGCCAGATCGAGGCGCACCAGCGCCAGCTCTCCATTTTGGAGCGGCGCCATGCGGAGCTGGTCACGGCGGTGTCCTCCGGGGGCGCTGTCAGCGGAAAGCTCTTTTGCATGGAGGACGTTATGGGCTCGGAGGTCCGAAAATCCGAAAATCAAAGCCCCTGCCTGTAGACTTCCATAGGGTGACGCTGGCGCGTAACGCTTTTTGCCAGCAGCTCCCAGCTAACAGGCGAGATAACGCATTTTGTTTTGGCCTGAGATGCTGGTTCAGCCGTGTTGATTGGTGAATGTTTGTTCTTTGGAGGGCATCCTGTTCGCTTTGGTTGTAGGCAGGCTTCAAAAGAGGCCGAAAATGGGCACCCTCCGCTTGGTAGGTTGCTAGCACCAGCAGCAGCAAGAGTCACAGCACGTTGCTGGGCTTCACCAACGCCATGGCCGCAGCCGAAGCACGACTGCATGGCCCACGGCGAGTGGAGCGTGTGGAGCGTGTGGAGGAGCAGCCGAGGCCTACCAGTGCCAATCATCATCCGAATCCGGCACAGGGCTGGAAGACAGTTTTCAAAGCGCATTGGCCGTCGAGAGTGTGATGCGGTTCAAGGTGGCATGGATAAGAGCGGATTGCATGTCCAAAGTGGCATGGGGCCAAAAGTGGGCAGGTGCTGTGCCGTTTGCTTATCAGATGCGGTTCATGTAGGGAAGCGACTTGCGTGGCTCCTGTTGGAGTTCTGGGCAGGTGGGCGCAGTAAATGCAGAGCTGGCGCTGCAGGCTTGGGCCAGCACAACAGGCCACTCCTCAATTAGGGCCCTTCTGTGCCTTGATGTTGAGGATGTGATCTTTCTAAGGGCCCTTGTTACCTTACCTTACCTAGTCTGTGCCCTTGCGCGAGAAAGCAGCCCCATGCGCAAAGAAGGCTCATCCCAAAGTGGACCCTGCGACCCTGGAACCTGCTCATGCCGCCAGGATACGGGAGATCAGGAAAGCTGTGCAAATGGCCCAGCCCTTGGCGTTTTTGGCCGTGCACTCGATTCCTGGCTCGTCAGCAGCACAAGCAGCTGAAAGGATGCCTTCTTTTTAATCAGAAGGGACAGTGCTCACCTGAGCCCATGATTGCGTTGCTTCACTTCAAAACAACCAGCCAAATTTGGCATCAGCTTCTCATCCATGCCAATCCATGGACTCAACCAAAGCTGCTCCTTGAGGCCAGTCATGCTGGACCTTCTTCAGTCTTGAGCAATTCTCAGTGCTGCTGATCGCTTTATCCAATTCAGCATGTGAATCAGAGAGCGCATCACAAGAGAACCTTCTGATCCTGAAAAGGGTCGAACGCCTCATGAGAAAAGCTTAGCCGGCGGACAAACCCGCCTGCTTCGCAAAGTGATGTGCCATGTTGGTTGCTGCAGATTATGTGGTTGAGGTGGATCTGCGCGGGGAGTCCTTTGGTGAATTTGATGCCAAAAGCTTTACTCCTGGTCAACGGCTGAAGCAGCAGATGCCTGATGCCGCCCGCCTGCCATGCTTCCGTGTGCCGGTGGAGCAGCAGAGCAAATGTCAAGGGCTGCGTTGAGATGCAAGGCTGAATTGAAAGGCTCAAGCTAGACTAACAGCCGGAGCCATGAGGTTCCTACGCGTTCTGAGCGCAGGCTCTCATCCTGGGCGAGGCTTTGCAACAAAAGCGACCCACCCTCGGCAGTGGGCCATTTGGAAGAAGCTTGACCGAGACAATGATGGCAGCCTCACCCACGCAGAGATTCGCCACATGTGCCGCAAGTTTGATGCAACCGAGCACGCTGCCGTGCTTTGCTCAATTCTGGATCCTCAGAAGACAGGCTCTGTGGATTTTTCGGGCTTTGTCGAAAACTTCAAGGCGGGGTTTGCTGGATCATTCTAGATCTTGTGACATGTCTAGGACCATAAGGGCCGTGACAGCCAACAGAGTGTTTCAAAGGACATGTAGCTTCATTTGCGGAACACGTGGAGCCCTGTCAGGCGGTACAGATGGTGCGCAATTCAGCCAGGCTGAAGCAGTGGCACCGTACCTTTGGTCTTGGTGTTGCCGGCAACGTAGCGGGCCACATGCAGCAAGCCGGCGAGGCAGACTCCAGCCACAGTTCGGACATGCCTGCAGCAGTCTTCACGTTTTACGCGCCCCACCCCCACACTGTGGATGCGCCGGAGAAAGAGGTACTCAATCGATTGCAAAACTTTCCCGTCAGCAATGCCGTCATCGATTTCCCGCACAAGGGCGGCAATGTCCAGGTGGAGCCCGAAATGGGCTTGCTGTGCGACATCGTTTACACTCCAGACCTGTCCAAGGTTGAGCGCCTGATGCCAAGGCGAGTTGCAGCATTCAATGATTGTTCCATCCGACACTTGGACGGCTCCCAGAAGTTGAGTGAGAAGAAGAACTGGGGGGCTGGCAGCAAAGGAATCAGCCTCCGAAGCTTCCGGGTGAAGTCCATTTCCCAAGGCTCTTATGTGGATCAACTGTGCTTGGCCTCCTACATCATGCGGGATGGGGAGGTCATCCAGTACAGCGTGCCAGCGCCGGCCAGAAACTACTTGCTCTTCCATGATGCCTTGTTAGATTGGGTGGTGGCGTGTATCAACACACAGCAGGACACTGACAAGTGGGAGGAGATCTTCCCACAGCTTGTGGAGAGCGACTACCCTGTGTCAATGTGGATTGCACTCGGGGCAGGTGAGTACACAGATTGGGGGAGTCAGAACTATTTGCAGCCCAAGGACGAGACACTGGTCATGGTGTATGACGAGCAGATCTTCCCCAACGGCCCCTCAGAAGAGGTGATTGTCTCACAGTTTCAGGACCTGGATGCGCCAGCAGGCCTCATTGCCCTACACCAAACATTTGTTTGAAGCATGTTTCCATTGGCCGAGAAGGCCATGTAACATATGCCCATAGGTTCCATGCAATCCGCATGAAATTGGTTTCGCTCGCAAAATGTGCTGTGGGCCCGCAGGTTCGTCAGTGCAACGAAGCTTACGCCTGTGGTGTTGGAATGGATGCCGCACGCGCTCCTGCCAAGTGTTTGCATTTGGCAGGGGCTCCATTTCGCAGACGGGCGAAATGATAGGCAAGGCAGTGCAATTGCTGCAACTCTGCGGCATCAGAAATGATTGGCTTTTAGATTCATGCAACAGCCAATGCAGCGCGTGCCTGCGCCACGAATTGCATGGCAGGCATTGTTAACACGACTTGAAGGATTTGCCTCCTGTGAAGGCCTCTTGAGAGCAACCGCCTCACCTTCTCCGTGTTGCTGGCTCATACCAGCAGTGTTGGGACCCTGGTGGCCGTACTTTGTTTGCTGAAGCTGAGAGAGGTTCTGTTCACAAGCAACACCAACATAACGAGCTTTTTAACAGCTTGCTCAATTCAACCTTGTGCTGACCTTTGCGCATGCAGCAGGGCAATGTATGCCCCCTACCAGCCTTGTTATCATGGTTCCTGGTTGCTCCTTCCACATTTGCACGGTTGTGAGGTGTTGATTCTGAGTGGCCCTGATGGCTTTCAGCTCAAGAAGGACTTCCACTTGTCAAGTGGCCATCAACATCACCCTCCCCTCAGCCCAGTCGGCTCGGGAGGGACATGCTTCGGAGATTCACATTGGCAGCATAGGCGAGCCGTGCTCAGCTGTATCTTGAAATAAGATGCAAAGGTGCACGCGCACACACAGACACACACAAGCCACACACACAAGCAGACAAACAAAACACACACGAACACAAGAACACAAGAACACAAGAACACAAGAACACAAGAACACAAAAACACAAGAACACAAGAACACAAGAACACAAGAACACAAGAACACACACACACAACCACACACACACACAAGCAAACACAGACACAAGCATACACATAAACACACACACACACAGAGACACAGACACAGACAGAGAGACACACACACACACACGCACACAGACGCACACACACACACACACAGACACACACACACACACACACACACAAGCCACACACACCCACAAGCACACACACAGACAAGAACACACACACACACAAGCACACACACAAGCCACACACACACAAGCCACACACACCCACAAGCACACACACAAGCCACACACACACAAGCCACACACACCCACAAGCACACACACAGACAAGAACACACACACACACAAGCACACAGACAAAGACACACACACACACACACATCAGCGTATATAGCGTACGGTCATACTTCTGCCTTCTTCTCCGTTCCTTCTTCGGAGCATTCGCTGTCATTGCATATTGGCGATGCGTGCAGCCGGATCCAACTGTGCTACTTTCGGTCAACTCTCCCCTCCTGTGCGATTAGTGCGAGGGGGAGAGAGAGAGAGAGAGAGAGAGAGAGAGAGAGAGAGAGAGTGTTCAAGCGCAGGACTGCCTGGCAAACGCTACTGACGTAGTCAGCATCGCAGGCGCGTGGTCTATTTGGTTGAGTTAGACACGTGAAGGCAGCCACCAGCATGCAGTCAGATTGTTACGTTATTACGTTCACATCCTTGTCAATCTGATGTGTAACCCTTGGCCTGGTCAAACCATGGGCCAAATTGTGGCAAGGTGCTTCTCTTGCCAGCTGTGAGGCAAAGTTTCGTACGTTGGGCTGGTGGGAGTGGTCGGGAGGATATTGTGCTTGCTGCTTCTTTAGCAAAGATTCTTTTTGCGCTCTGACCTGGCAATGTCACGTTTATGAAGTCAAATGGTTGCATTGCTTGGGCTTTGTCTCGGCCTACCGGGCAAATGGGACCGCGCACATGTAGGAACAAATCCCTTCGGCTTGCGCAGCTTTGCTTTGCCAGGCCACTGGGCCTAAAGCGCGCTTGGAGCTCCTGGCACCTTTGCAGGCCTAGAGTCCAGCCAGGAAAGGCACCAGGAAATGGCGGCTGCTGAAAGACTGGTCGCTTGTCGTGTTCGAAGATGTGTTGTTGATTTCAGGATTTCGATTGTAAACTAAAACCACCGATGAAGCAGGGCTCTTGAAAAGTTCTGCCTGAGGTTCAAGGCTCCCTAAAGACCGAGAAACCCCTAAGAAATGCATATGCTCACTTTGGGCTCCCGTGATTGTCGAGCAGGCTTGACAGGTTTTGGGGGAGTTTCAATCAACTTCCAGCAAGTTCAGCCTCTTGTTGACAGTTTCCAGACCGCACGGTACTGCAGGCGGGCGTTCGCTATGCCTTCGCCGTCGAGGCGCCAGACCCGTGCATGCGGAGTTGAGGCAAAAGGTCCCAACAATCACCGTGTGGCTTGAGCTCAGCGCCAAGCCACCCAGTCAGGTGGAGGCCAATCCCACAACAACACCGGCACTGAATTCGTGGTTCCTAGAGGCCGGGAATAAACATCGGGAAGAGACCAGCTGTAGCTCATGCAGTTGCTGTGTTCTTGGCTTCCTCAGCCCAAGCCGCGGGTGCTGGCCAGACGGACTCAGAAGCTTCATTGGCAATTGCGAGCTTCAATGTGCAGACGTTCCATGGAATGGCAGCTTGGCGCGATTCTGTGCCAAGAAATGGAGTGGAGCATAAGCGGGATGGCAATGTGTCGACAACATCTTTGAACATGAGCTTAGGCAGTCACACCATTGACTCCAGAGCAGAGCTTAGGGATTTGCACAGCTGCAGCATCCAGAGCTGCCTCAGCGGTGTAGTGAGCTGATTGTCCTTGTGGTCGTGCCCCTTGCACTGCCAACTGGGTTCTTGGTTCTTTAAGTTTTGTCAATTGGTGAGATCATAGTATTGCTGTGAGGCTGCCGGCTCTGTTTGGCCAGATGGAGCTCCAAATCAGGTTGGAGACTTAGCGGGTCATTGCGTTTGCCGCGGCATGTGTTACTTCTGTGTGCCTGGCCATGTGCGAACACACCGTTGAGCCTAGCTTCAAGCTGCCGCATTCGTGAGGTGAACATTTCCTTCCGCCCGCAGACAAGTCAAACTCGTGGTGAAGGTCTGTGTGACTAGCCAGGCAGCTCATATGTGTTTAATCCTTGCAGGTTGGCCGTCCCTGGTCATCACAGCTCCGGCGAACTTTGCATTTTACCACGGCAATGCTTCTTGCCCTCAGCTTTACCAGGCGGACAGCATTGACGTTGCAGGAATTGGTGGCGTTTGTTTTGTGGCAGGCAGGCCTGGCCCAGGATGCTTGTTCGCCCGGGGCTGTCCGGCACCTTGGCACCCCAAGTTGGCAAGATTCTGGATCTAAGGGGAGGAGCATGCCGCTGCTCCCTGCAGGCCAGGTCTCAGGTTGTTTGCATTGCGCTACAGCGGTCGGTCAATGCGACAGGAAGACAATATGCTGGCCGTGGATTTCACAGGGGCTGGCCTCTCCAGCAACATGACATACATCCTGCGGCTTTTGACTGCGGCTGCCCCAGCTGACGTGCGTGATGTTGGGCGAGGCAGAACTTGTAGCAACGTCAAGCGGTGCAAGACACCCCTTGCACCCAGGTAGGCCAAGCAAGTGTTCCCGGCGGAAGCTGGCGATTAATGCAGGGCTCTTAGATCCAGCTCTTTCTTTGTGTGCAAATGTGTGCATGCGTGTGTTGCGGAGTGAGTTCTCGAATGGTTGAATCGGTGTGAGGTCCTTCCAGGACAGGTTGGGCCAAGCCAAGTTGGACGTTGGGGAGGCGTGGAGTCAACATGTCCCAGCGCGTCCAGCAGTCGAAAATTTCTCCGTGTTCTGATCCTTGGGGCGCAGACCACTTCTCACTTGAGTCTTGGACACTCAAGTAGGCTCTTTCATTTACCAAGAGTATCACCTTGGCGCTGGGTTCCACTGCCACACTGCCAGGTAGAGGGCTTCCAGCTGTGCAGCGCGCTCCTGGACTTGGCCGTGGGCGTGTGGGAAGCTTAGCGATGAGTTCAGGGCCTCGGCTCGGCTACCGAAATGTGGGGTCCAATTTTGTCCCATCCATGGATGACATGGATGACCTGCACCCGGCAAACAGTAGAGTAGCGCCCTTGAGTGACGTGGGTAGGGCACGCGACCTGCTGATGGAAGTGACGTGTGTTGTTTAATCAACCAGATTGTGTTTGCACAAATCACGGCAAGCTCAACTGGGGACCTGGGGGGTGGGTCCTTTTCTTGCATTCTCAAAGTAATGCAGCTGGGTGAATTATGCTGAGTAGTGCAGACGTTGGTCACAGGCAATCAGACAAGCATGAGCTGGAGCTTGTCGCGCCTAGCGAGGAGCGCTGCGATTGTCGGTGTCACAAAAGCCCCCACAAAGAAGGCTTGCTAAACATGAAAAGGTTTCCTTCGCGGCTGCGTATCTTTCACAAAAGTATTCTAGGGAGAACAGCACTGTGCTAGCCATGTGCTGCCATGCATGCTGGCACAGCAATGACAGCGCAGGAAGGCCTCGCTCTTCTGCCCGAGTTGGTTGTCACCTTCACGCTCCCTCATCCAGTGGCAAACTTGGTACTCACTGCTGGCCAACTTTATCAGCTGTTTTCCGAGCTCACAGGTGCTCGGCGGCGACTTGCTGCGACTTTTTTTGCCGTCCTCCCACAGGTCAACGGGGCCATTGTTGGATGAAGCCGGTTTGGCGCTCGGCAGGCTAGATGGCGGCGAAGCCATGTGCGGGCTGCAATGGTGGCAAGGTGGGGAACAAGAAGCAAGGAACCTTGAAGCCTTGCACGCCGCATTGCCAGGTGCATGGTCCGTGCTTCCAGGGCTTGTGGCTGGCGACTTAGCAATTGCTTCCTCATGCGCTGCGCTAAACAAAGCTTCCCAGCAGGTGCCCGCGTGCACCCCAGCAAGAGTGCAGCTGAACTTCACCAAAAGCTCAGAGGCCCAGCCCAAAAGACGGTCTGCTTGGCGGCCTCGACTTCACTCTAACTGGCTGACAAGATGGCTTTGCGCAGGCGCACATTTCAGCTGGCCGGCAACTGGCCCTGCGATTCAGCACAAGGAACCCACGGAGGCCCGGCTTGTCCCTGTGCAAGACTAGGCACCTTTCGCATGTGGGGAAGTCGTGGTATTCACCCGGGTCGGCCTTGCAGGAGCTTCACTGATTCATTCTGGCGCGCGGTGTGCCTATTTGCCTTCAGCAAGCAGCCATGACTGTAGGTTGTGCATCCTTTCCGGGTGCAGAACCGGTCACTATGCGCTTGAGGATTCTCGAGATGAGGTCAGGGGATGTAACTCCAAGCTCCCCCAAGGTGGAGCACTTGCGGCATGCGGAACTGCTGGCTGGGGGTGCTCTTCAAAGTTGGAAGGCTCAAGCCTCGGCTTCGCTGGTGTGTGTGTGTGTGTGCGTGTGCGTGTTATGTGTTATTCATATTTGTTTATAGCCTGCTACTGGGCAGCCTTTCCCCCCATGTACAGTTGCCCTTGTATGCAGTGAGCGCGTCGCTCCTGAACGCTGGGAAAACCGTCGCTTCGGAACGCTGATTAAAAGTCGCTTCGGAACGCCGGAAAACGTACAAATCGCTTGGGAACGCTGAAAGCGCAGCCACATGCCACGCGCTGCACCGAGACACCGGCGAGTGCTTCGCTCTTGAACGCTGAGACAAGAATCGGCACCCATACGTCCACGCGCTTTCATAGCAGCCTGCAGAGCCTGGCGTTTGGCATGTGCTCAGACTTGCCCTCGTTGACCTAGAGCAAAGTTTGGGGCATGTTTGGGGAAACTCAGTTTGTTTTGGGGGAGAAAGGGAGGGACCTACTTTTCTTCGGAAACCGCATGTTCGCAGCACTCTGACGCTTGGCATGTGCAGAGATGTGAAAAGAATTGCTCTCATTAGAGCTCAGTTCAGCAGGCGTGCTTATCATCCCCCCCCGCCTGATTTTGCACACCCTGGCTGGGATGAAGCAGTTCAGCGGGTGTGCTTATCATGCCACCCCCCACCCCACCCCACCCCACCAAATTTGTACATGGGTGTGGCTCAAAATTAAACAGGAGGGGCTATGCAGGTTTTGGTCCATGTTTCCACCTGCCAGGGTTCCATCTTGGTGCCGGTTTTTTGGAGCCACAGCCACATTCGGTCGCAGAGCAGGCTGAGCTGGTTCAGTTGAGCGGGTGTGCTTACCATCCCACCCCCCCAAGAACAAATTGGTTGGATTTTGACACCCTGGCTGGGATGAAACAGTTCAGCGGGTGTCCCCCCACCCCACCCCCAAAGATGAATTTGCACATTCGGTTACAGTGTTTTGCAACCCTTTCGGCGTTTTGAGTGCTCAGTGTTCTGAAGTGATTTTTTTGAGTGCTCGGAAGTGATCGAACGTGGCAGCGTTCAGAAGCGATTTTTTAGCGTTCGGAAGTGATTGTCTACTCTTGTATGCACTTGCTTTACTTAGTTGACATAGCAGATCCCTTGTTTTTAATGTGGGTCTTTTGCGCTGGCATGTAGCTTGCCGTTCATGTCAAGACACCCTGGACCAGGTCATTCCTGCTTTGTCACAAGTAAGCGTTGAGCTTGCCAGAAGCCGAGCTTGGAGTGCACCTTGCTCGATTGGCAGAAACGGCAGAAGCGTGCATGCAATGCTTTGGCTTTGCATTGAAGGCGTCTTTTGCTGTTGGGCAGCGCAGGGCGCTCGGCACAACATTTTGCACGAGTCTTGGTGCTTGTCGTTGTTTTTTTGGGGGGGCTGCTGCCTTGGCCAGAGTTTGCGCATCTACTGACATGTTCTTTCATTCTCAAAGAGCGCATGCGAGCGGAGCCCGCTTTACGAGGTTCATATGTGTGGTGAGAACTCGGCTGACCTCTAGAATTTGCGTGCTTTGTTGGCCAAGTTGAGGGGTTAATGAAATGTTTCTGACAAGCTAGCCATAGCAAGCCAGAGTTGCGTTGAAGGGTGCAGGTCAGCCCAAGCACGCTGAGGCACCAGCATCATCGATGCCAGGCTCTAAACAAGCGCCATCATCGTGCAAGCCAGCGGGCATCGTTACCGAAGCCAAGTCAGGCTAGACAGATAGAATGCTGTTTGCAGCATTTTGCTTGTGCGCAAAAATGGGGAGACAGGTGCCAGTGGTCTCCAAATTTAGCATCGTATGTTTCTTGATTCATGAGATGCCCTATTCAAACCCAAGTTCTCGACCTGTGCCTCAAGACTTCCTCATTCCGTGTCGCTTGCTTCAAGCAAATCCAGAGGGGGGCAGCAGTTGCTCAAGGCAAAATGCTGGTTTTCTCACCCAGGCGCATTTCTACCACATCAGTTTTATGAAAGCAGTAGAGAAAACAAAACAGCAGCGCTCGAGAAAGCAAGCTGAAAAAAACAAAGGTTGAGATTGTTACTTGGGCTGTGTTTGAGTACTTGGAAAGCATTTGTTGAGATGCTTTTGAGTCTTTTGAGTCTCCTCAAGCTCAGTCCCGCACACGTGAGCGTGATGGTGAACACTATCATGACGTTTCCCAGACTGACACAGTCTCATACGGCGTTTCGTCTGTCTTAAGGTCTCGTTCACTGCAGCTGGAGATGCTGATCAACTGGAGATGCGAGGGCGGAGCCCTCAGAGAAGCCTACTGCCCCATGCCCATGGAGTCTGGGAGGCCTGTGGGCTTCGACTTCAGCAATGCAGCCAGCGACCGTGGAGAAGCCGCCAGTATTTCAGCCGCAGTTTGGCTTCCTGCGCTCTCCACCGTTGACGAGCCGAGGCATATCAGAGCCCCGCTCTGTGAGGGTCAAGATTCCGATGAAGGCATCGTGTGATGCGGCACTCACCTTCACACCGTGAGATTTGGTTTCTCAGGAGGGTGAGCCGCTGAAGCTCCGCCTGCATCACGTGCAGTTGCCTGAGGAGGGTGGGGTGTGCTACTTCGACCTCAATGCACTTGATAGCGCCTCGACGCACTTCTGTGGATGTGGTTCTGCCCGTTGTGCATGGGTCTGCCCTTAGTCCAGTGATGGTTTTGAGTTTGCAGTATCTAACAACCGCAACAGGGTTGGCACTGTTCATCCTTTCGCTTCCCGCTTATTGCGTGCCAGTTTGAAGCAACCTCATGATTGGCAATGTGTCATGTTGATGTTGTTCAGAATATGCGGTCGGCAGATGAGGTGATGGGCATATTGTGGCTGGAGACCTGGGATAGACAACTGGCAGAGGGGTTGGCTTGTCCCCGAAGTTTGGACATCCAAAAGTTTGCAATGTATTAGCAAATGGTATCTCATCCACTGTCAGCAGTGAGAAGCAGACTGCCGTAAGATGTACTTGTTCCAGTTGTTCTTGCGACTTCGGTGACTGGAGGCTCGCGCGCTCAACTTCACAAATGGGGTGGCGGTGCCAGGCTTTGCTGCCGTTCTCGACATCGTGAGCATAGGGATGCGCTTGTGCAGGCCGCATTCTCATATCCCATATTGATCTCCAGAGCGTGTACCAGTCCAGACCACTTCAGCATCTTGGCATGAGAGCACAGCAGCATGTCTTGCCAAGAGAGCCTTGAGTGAGCGAAAGTTGATACACCCTGCTTAGAAGCCATGTGCTCCAGCTTGGCTTTGTCTCAAGGTACCCTTTGCAGTCTCAATGGCCAGCGCAATTTAGCAGGCGGATTGTGATTCAAATGGATGCCGCTCGGCTGCGTAAACCAGCTTACTGTTCCTGAGCAGTCATTTAAAGTGGCTGATCCAGGCCAGAATTCCTTCAGCAAATGCCGGAGAAGCGCTGCAGATTTCAGGCAAGCCGTTCCAAATGCAGCAGGCTGGATTCCTGCATCAGAACATCAGCACTGCGAGCCAGCGAAGCCGCGCAGGGCGGCTTTCGAGTGCTGAAGCTAGGACCTTTGTAGTTGTGCTCTTATGGTGCATTTATTTATGTGTTTAATCTTTAGGATAGCCAGCTTGCACTGAATTCTAGACGGTGCGTTTGCTTGTCATCGCCAAGTATGGCCCGGGCAGGAGCTGTGGTACCCATGTCTGCCCCAAGCACGAGCGGCGGGATGCTGACAGCAACGATTGTTGAAGGCGCACTGTGTCCAGAGAAGGTCAAACTTGAAGGGGAATACCAGAATACTGTCCCAGTCGCAGAAGCTGTTTCTACCAAGTTGCTCAATGCCGACCAGAAGGGCCCAACTTATCCCAAAAAGCAACGTCTTTGCAGCGCTCTCAAGTCGCAGCCCGTTTGCGAGCCCGTGCAGGGCTTCTTCCCGGCGTGCACCAGATCTTCGGCATGGCCCTTGCTCCGGCAGCACTGGCAACCAGTGAACGCACTGGGCTGAAAGCGTTTGAGACGCGGATGGTCATGTGCATTCGACCTGAGGGCCTATTTGGTGGAACATCGAGGTGTCGCGACTTGAGTTTTCACCTCTCTTGGGGAGTAATAACTGTGCAGGTTTTGTCTCGTGTTTGCCACGACGCCCTTGCCTAGCCCTTGAATGGAATGCGCTTGGCAGGTGATGGCTGCAAGTCCACTTCCAAGAAGCATGGGCGCTGCGCAGGCAGATCTTGTTACAAAGGAGGTCGCATGTGAAGATATGTTTGCCAGTGCACCGACTCCAGGTTTGGAGTGTCATACCAGAAGCCTAGACATTTGCTGCATTTTTGGCAGGCAGACATCTTGTTGGTGCCGCCTTTGCAGGCCTTTGAATGGGAGGAAGTTCGACTTGCACATCCGAATTCGGCTTTAAACCTCATTTCTGTGGCTGCTAGCGTTGGACTGCTGCTTTGGAGTTTGGGGAAGCTGCTGGAATCCCAATTTCGCCGAACATGGCTGAATTGCCAGCATTCTTTGGGTCGGATGATTGCAATCATTATTGCCAGCAACCAGTACGAGTCAAATTCTGAAGACGGAAGGTGGAGGTGCGCGCAGAAAGGACGGGAAACTGCTGACGGATGGTGGGAGATGCCACAGCGCAATCATGTGGGCATCAAAAACTTTTCGGCCAGCGGTTTAGCATTTGCTGCTAACAACAAGTGATGTGAGTTTTGTGCAGACGGGCAGAATCCTTGAAGGCACAAAGCCAACCCCTAGCTCGTGCCATACTGATGTACCCTGCTCCCGCAGCGACAAGGACCCCGCCTTTGTCCTTGATCGAGGTCGACTTCTTGGCTTCAGCGTCATCCACGGGCCCTCGCCTGCTGGTGCTGGTCTCAGCATACAAGAGCCCTCGACAGCTTCAGCCAGTACATACTCTACCAGCGCTGGGAGTGGGAGAGAGCACTTGTAGAAATGAGTTGCGGTTGAGTGGCCGGGAGTCAAGGTTCTAAAGAGCACGCGTTTCTTTGCGGGTATGGCTCAGGTGGCACCGCCTGGATTCAGCTTTACCTCAGGCTGCGCAACAGCCTTTTCACTCGCTCGGAGCTGAGACTCAGAGCAACTTGCCTGGTTTTTTCAGCACTTCTTGAAGATATAGTCGTAGCCACAGCGTTTTTTTAATTCTCAACCTGCTTCCTGGAAAGCTTGATGCACTACATAAGATAGAGCACTGCAGTGGTTCGTCATTCCTTCCTTTCCGAAACATGTCACCTTTCTCATGCGCAGGGCTGCCGAGCGACCCAAGTGGAGGCTGTGAACCAGATTCATGCATACCATGATGGTATCATTTTTTGCCTGGTTCAGGCGGGGCTTGCTACATTCAAGCTCAAGGCGCCTGCCGTATTCCCGGCCAGCCGTAGCATTCGGCTTTCCATTTATGCAAGTGTTCAAGCCAGTGTCGGGTCCTGAAGAAGCTGGTGGCAATGATGGACCTCTGAAACCCACAAAGGTTGGCAGCTGTTTGTGCAAGCCCCGCTGGAGATCAGAGCACTGGCATTTTGACCTTTGAAATAGAATCGCCGAGCGGGGGGTTCTCCCCACGCATCAGGTGCACACGCCCGCGCAGACACCCTCGCAGCGCTCTTGGCTGCTGGCAAGCCTGAACAGTAGAGGCTGGATTGCTGGGATGCCCATACGGCCCGTGGATGCTTTCTCTTTTTGTGGTGGCAGATTCTGAGTGCAGATGTAGCTTTTGTAGGCGAAGTCATTGCCTGGGGGGAGGACTCAGCTTTGCAGGTGTTAGGCCGAGACGGCCAGACTCTGACACGCAGCAAACAGTATCAGTAAAGGTCAAGGTCCTATACTTGGGGCCCTTTCGTTTCGGCACAGTTGATGTTCCGGTGGGGCCCGCCGCTGGCCGATTGCCAACAACAGGACTTGTTTGGGCTGGAAGTTGTCCAGATGCGCAGTGAGCGGCGCCAAGACTGACAATACACGCAATCATTGCTGCTGTCATCAAAGCGCATCAGATAGATTCACATTTTGATCAACTGGCAGTTGTGCAATGTGTGCCGCAGTTGCCCCATGGATGCGTTAGGCTGCTTTGAATACCTTCTGAATTTGCCGCCCGAGGTTGCAGTCATTTACCCAGCGGTCCCTGACGTGTCAGCAGAGTTGGTTGCCAGGCAACGAAGTGAGACTTGCATAGACCATGCTAGCAAGGAAGAAGTAGCAAGGAGTTCCGGCAGGTTCAAGGGCCCTGCAGTTTGCCTCGGCTGCAGGTTTTTTGTGAGCGATCCAGTTCTGGATGGTGGTAGCATTCAGCCTGGCACTCGTCATCTCAGGGTGAATCATACCAGTGTGAATCACACATGGTTTGACCGCGTACCGTCACGAAAAAGACATACAGCCTCCAACTCGAGCCTGTTGATTGAATATTTCTACACTAAGCCAATGACAGACGTGAAGAGGTTTACTGTTGGCACTTAAAGAAGCCTTGGTACAGCTCCACGGTGAACGCAAGGGCTGCAAGCTTTGCCCGTGGTCCCTTGGCATATCCCATTCGCACAGTTCTGCATCACATGTTTTTTGTTTCTTTCCGGAGGCACCTTCAATCCATTAGGCCAATAAACAAATAGAACAGATGACGCTCAAGAGAGCCAAGGATACAGCAAGGATAAAGTGTCAGAACTCTTACAGTGAAGGATTCGGGCAAAGCCATTCGCTCATTGAGGCTTTTGAAGCCGCCTGAGCTCGCGCTGAACTGCTCAGGATCCGCCTTGAGTGTCTCGGGATGTCTCGGGCTCGGCCCCAGGAAGGCACATTCCCCCAAAGTTCCCAAGGAGTTTTGAAAGTTGATGAAAGTTGTTTCCATGGGCAACAAGAAGCGGAAACGCAAGCTGCTTCAAGCGCATGGCCTTGGCCTTGGATCACAGGAGTGCAGCTGCTGCCGATTCAAGGCTGGCAAAGCTCAAAGCTCGGGGCACGTGCAGCAGATCCTGAAATCCAGCAATGCAGGATGCACGTCGGAGCAAGAGTCCATCACTGTGCACGGTGCTGAGCGTGTTTTGTCGCGGCATGTTTTTGAGCCACAAGTTTGCATGGTATGGCGTTGTGATGCTTTGTGATGCTTTGTGATGCGGTGTGCCTTCGAGCAGCAGAGCTAGGCAACTTTCCTCGCAGCTGAACGTTGGTTCTCATGCCCTTGCTCTGACCTGAGTAGTGGCTGCTGTGATCCGTCGACTGCCTTGTTTGGTGAGGCGATGGGGCTGACAATGCCAGAAACACAGAACGGCGCAGTCAGCGGTCCTGCTTGGTTGCTTTTTCTGACGAGGCCGTCCGGCAGCCCAAAAAAGAACAGCTTCGCCTTGATGGTGCGCAGCATGGGCCTCGGACCAGTGAAGCTTTGCCAGTGATTGCTCGCCTCGGTTTTCGCCATGGCTTGCTGGCGACCCCCCGCCAAACAAAAGAAGGGGGTCGTTTATGGAAAGCTCCTAAAAAACAAAATGGCGTACGGATTCCGTGCCTTTCAGCCAAAAACCACATCAAAGCGGCGGAATCAGCTAGCCAGCCAAGCCAGAGCGAGCGGAATCAGCCAGCCATCTAAGGAAGAGATAGCGCGGCAAAATCAGCTACCTAAGATGGTGATCAGAGTTGACCCTGCTCAAGTCTTGGGTCCTGTTATTTTGCCGTCTAATGGGATCCCGCCTTTTCAGGCACAAAAATTGACCAGTGAATTTAAACAGCAGACATTAGGCATCCGTCTCCAGAGTTTCCGCTGTTTAAAAGCCCTTAGTATCGCCCCAGTACTGCCTGGAATTGGTGAGCAAGCATTGGTTTAGGCTACTTTTAACTGTTTGCTTCTTGGCGCAGTGAACCCGTCACCGTGCGTGTGCAGACTGTGCCACCTGCACCGTTTGCTCCCTCAGTAACACGGGGACCAATTCCCTGCTGGACAACACAAGCATGGGCAACTGTAGGGGTTAATGGGTACCAAATCCCTGCTGCAGCACAAAAACAGACGGCCACAGACAGAAAAGGAACAAGCACCTGGCATGTCTACACTGTGGCGGGTCAACGGGTATCAAACCCCCTCCTCACCGCTAGAATAGCGGATCACCGGGGTACAAGTTCAACAGGGCCACAACACACAAAGAAAGAAGCATCCGATATGTCTACATTGCAGGGGGGCCAGCGGGTGTCTGGATACTGCAACAGGGAACAAATTCCCATATCAGCCAAAGACATATGCATCCGATATGTCTACATTAAGGGTGTCAAAGGGTACCAAATCCCTTCTGGGCACTACTGAAATAGGCGGACACCGCGGTACAATTTCAAAGGAAGCGTCCGCCATGTCTACATTGTAGGGGGTCAACAAGTAACAAACCCTGAGCACCGCAGAAATGGGCGGTCACCGGGGTACAAATTCAATCGGGCTACAGCAGGCAACGAAATAGTAACAAGCATCCGTTGTGTCTACATTGTGGGGGGAGTGGGGTCAAAAGGTACGAATCCCGGCCAGCACCACAGAATGGGCGATCAACGGGGCACCGAATTCATCGGCAAAAGCAAGCATTTGGTATGTCTACATTGTATAGGTCGAAAAGCAAGTCCCAGCTGGACAGACACCGGGGTACAAATCAGGAAAAGAACCAAGCATCCGGTATGCCTACACGGATGGTGCGGATGGTGCAGGTGGTGCGGGTGGAGCGGCTGGTGCGGGTGGTGCGGGTGGAGCGGCTGGTGCGGGTTGTGCCACTTTTTGAAAGGAATGGGGCTATAATATATACTGGCTTTGAGTCTCGCTCAGACCTTTGACCTTCCTTCCTTCGATAGTCTGCGGGTTGGCGGTCAAACCCTTCAAGGTCTTTCGGCAGAACCCAAAGCCTAAGTGTCTTTCTCATAGGTTCCATTCCTGACTCTTGATACGCATCAACTCCTTTATTCCCACGTTTGCTGCGAGAGGGGGCTCCAGCAAGGCCCGAGCGGCCAAGTGCAGGAAGCTGCTGCTCTGATCCCAGGCGGGCTGGGGCGCATGGCAAGCACGGACAAAATGTTGCTGCTGAGTCGCCTCAGGCCCCCTGAAGTCAGTAGGTTGCCCCCGCAAAGCCTGGCAGGCCGCCAGTTGCAGAAGCTGCCATTGGCCGGGCGGCCGCTGCGGTGGACGGCAGCGGTTCCGGGGCAGGGAAGCAGCGTGGTGCTGGGCCTGGGTCTGAGATGGAATCGAGGGGGAAGGCCGCCAGCAAGTAAGGAAGTTGTGTGCGTGTGTGCGTGTGTGCGTGCGTGCGTGTGTCTCAAAATGAGAGGCTCTTTGTATACCTAGGGGTTGGCGTTCCGTTGCCAGCTCTTGCCCGGATGGCAGAACTGCGAAATTGTTCGATGTCACGGCAAGATCCAAAATTGTTTTTGCACCCTTGTCAATGAAACTGCAGGCTTCCAGATTCAGGAGAAGTTGCCAAGAGGCACACTTGGCACTGCTAGGGCCTTGGCATTGGAAGCGGGAAGTAGGAAAAATACATACACAATGAACAGCCGCAGCTTGTCATTGAGGTGTTGATCACTTTGGCCTCTGACTTCAAGCAGACGTTCGGTCCTGAAATGCTTGGCCCTTTGCAAGATTGCACGAGCACCGCCAGCCACTGCCAAAGGTTGGAATCCGCCAGTGGCATCAACATCCTCAACCAAGCCTTGCCCATTGCCCGCTCTCGACCAAACGGCTGGGCAGACATCCGCCGCGTGGGGGCCTGCGTCCAACATCGTCCAACCACTCAGGCCGCGGCAGGTTATTGCATGTGCCTTGCCAAGGTGAGCGAAATTCTGATTTACTTGGATGCTTCCCAGCAGATCTTGGCTGGCGAGTATGACTCCTGACTGCAAGTACAACAGCGCAGTGCAACCCGTCGACTTTGGATCACAATGCTGACAGCATGTAAAATCAGCATTTCGGTGCTGCTTGCTTGTGATCGAGGACTTCCGCTTTCCCGTTACTGTTCCTGAAGAGGTACCGGCATCTCAGCCAAGTTACTTTCAAGTTAAGCTGCATCCCTGCATGTTTCCTTATTTTTGCCAGACCTGACAGTGCAGCACATTAGTTGAGAACCTCAGAAGTTTGAGACAGTGCTGAGATCTGAGGCATTCAATGTGTGGATGATCACACTGTGCCGGCCTAGCCAATGCCTGAGACCGGCTTTTTGTGGCTCTCGGGTACGCATATTTTTTGGCTGCAAAGCCGCGTGTCAGGTCAGTCAGACTCATGCTCGCTCACTGAAGTGGCGACCGAGTTGTTAACGCCTCGCGACTGCAGAGCAGGCAAATTCTGCAGGTGCGGTTTGCGTTGCCATGGCAGCCATGCTTTGCACAAGGTTCCCCATGGCTGGCTTTGGTGTGGCCCACAGTGCCCAAGTTAGATGCGACTGCCGGTGCTGCATGCAAGCAAATGTTTGCTGCATTGCCAGTCTCAAGCCGGTGCAGAGGCACCACCATGCCGCTCGCATGTAGCTTGCCACCATTTCATGGAGGACCCCGTGTTCTCCGTATTCTGTACAGGCTTCGACGATGCTAGCAGACTCTTGTCTTGAATATTTGAGGATTTTGATTTGAAGCATCATTAAGCAATGACGAAGCCTTGTCAATGTGGGCAAGGCCATGTGGAATATCTTTTTCACGTGGTGCATCTTCCAAGCGGATGTGCGTGGAAGGCTGGCAAGTTTAGAAAAGCACGACTGTAGATCGTGAAGCCGTCAAGAAGAGCCGTTGAGCATGGCAGGTCAGGCGGCGATACAGCGAGCTCTTGGCGACACATGAGTTGCTCTCAGGCCAGAAGCTCCTTGCAGGGAATTGGGGGATTTGTTTACTCTGAATATGCTAGACACTCAGCAAGCCCGGCAAGCAGCAACAGCAAACACCTTGCTTCCAAAAGAAGCGCGTTCGGCTTCTAATGGCAGATCGCGACGTACCAAGCTGGCCGGGCACTTGGCGCAGGTCACTTTGAGAACCTGCCTAACTTTCCACCGAAAGCACTCTATGGCTTGAGCATGCTACTTGGGCAGAACCTTCCGGTGGAGCACCTCGGCAAGATGCTTTGGCTGTCAGCTGCCAGCTGCTGCCCTTGTCGCTTGCGTATCTTCAGCGTTGCTGTCCCCAGGCGAGTCGCAGCTTTACAGCAGCACCTTGGCTGCTTGGCCCCATGGCATCCCTCCGAAAGGGAAGATGGCCTTGTTTTGTAACATGGTCTGGCTGGCAGAAAGAGTTTGAGAAGCACAATTCTTCGCACAGAGCGCTCTTTAGCCAACTCGGAGCTGCTGTGGATGGTGGAGGCTTGGTGATGCGAGGCGCAGCGGGAAAACCGAAGGCTTAGCAAGCATAGAGGCAACCAGTTGACGTATCTCCGTCGCAGAGATGGGTCTAGCAGGTGATCACCATTCAGCTGATCTTCTCATGACCGCTGAGGTACTTTCAGCAACTCCTCTCAAACAGAGAGGTGGCATCGCATCCTGATCTGCAGCTTGTCCTTGGTGTACAGCCACCAGTGCCAGTCACACCCCGAGTGCGGAGGCCGATGTGCTCACTTGGACGACGTTTGCTCGACTTGCCGCTGCTTTTCAGGTGGGTCATGGGGAGTCCCGATGCATTGACCGCCGACCTGGAAGTTGAGATTACCGTGGAGGCGTTCTCCCCGGCCGCGGCAGGCCGAGCGAAAAGCTGTCGCGTGCCGTGGGAAATCGCAGACTGCAGTAGGCAAAGTTCTCACCAGGCTCCAGCCCCTATGCTGCCACCGTTTCTACAGCTGCGCCTGTCGAGCCTTGGAAACCACCACATGACACGGCACGCCGTTTGAGGCTGAGCATGGCCCCCCCCCGATAAGTCTAGCCTCCAAATTGGTTCAGAGCCTGGCATGGAAACTGGGAGGCCGTTGTAAGCTGGCTTGGCAGAAAGAATGCCTGATGCTACGAAGCAGCTCAAAGGGTTCCTCCGGTGCCTCTGATTCACCTGGCGCTCGGACTCAACTAGAGTCATGGTAGGAGTCCTCAAATATGATGCCGAGATCAAGAAAATGTGCAAGCAGGCCATCTCGGGCTCCAAGACGGTGGAGGATCAGACCTTGGAGGCCTTCAAGTCATGGGACAAGGACGAGAACGGCTTCATTTCCAAGGATGAGCTGGCGCTGGTCTTAAGCTCCCTCGGCTGTCCCACGGAGACAGCCGATTTGGAGGCGATGCTGAAGGAAGCGGATTTGGATTGCGATGGCAAAGTCAACTACGAGGAGATGGTTCATTGGCTCTGCCGAGCGCCTTATTTGGAGGAGTACTTCCTGATGTCCTTGGATATCTTCAAACGCAACTTTAAAGACATCGATGCCGAGGTTTTGAACACGCAGCGAGAGATGCAAAAGATGAAGCAAGAGTTCGATGAAGACCCTGAAGACGAGACGGCTGCCATGAACAAATGTCTTGAGGTCATGCGGGAGTTGCTGCAGAAGATGCAGGAAGTGCAGAAAACCACGCAGAAACGGATCGATGATGAGCTGACGCCGGTGATCAAGCAAAGCTTCAAACACCATGACAAGGACAACAGCGGCACCCTGAGCCATGACGAAGGCGTCATCTTCTTCAGCAACTTCATGGCTCTCTGGGAGCCCTTTGGTGAGTTGATGTCGGAGCTGAACTGTGCGCAGGTTGCCATGATGGACCGGCTGGATTTGGACTCAGAAGCGGAGGATGAGAACCTAGATAGTACCAAGCATTTGGCCATGGAGAAGGTGAAATTGGTGACGCCCGACAAGCTGCATGCGGCCTTTAAGAAGAAATATGCCGTCTTGCGAGCGGAGCATGCGAAAAATCGAGATCAGCACCAGAAGGATGCCTGGGAGTTGCTGGCGGGCAAGGATGGCATGACTGAAGCTTCAGTCGTAGAAGCCCTGCTGCATGGCCACGAGATGAACTCGCAGTTCCTGCGAGCCATGGGCTTGAGAGTCGAAGATGTGATGAAGGCTGCCGAACCCACCTGCCAAATGTTGCAAGAATGTGTGGAAAATGGTCAGCAGGCGTATGCTATGCAGGAGGCCCTGGGTGAGATGGACCAAGCTGTGAAGGCGATGAATTCACTGGTCTTCGACTTAGACCCTGCCATGGGGGCAGGAGACCTTGGGGACTGCCAGATGCAGTGATTGCAGTGGTGTCGGCTGATCTGGCGTCCGCTGGCATTGTGGTGTTTCACCAGGCCCCCACCGAAGGTGTATTGGCACATGGTGCGAAGCGTGGCGCGAAGCGAAAAAAGCATGGCATTCCTGCAGTGAAGCGCAACATGAGAGGGGAATCGGTTTGGCAGCACACTTGCCCAATGAATCATGCTGGACCATGCTGATGCTGCAAGGAAAAGCTGTTGATTCTGCAGCAGGCACTGCGGCATGGGATTTCATTCGCCTTGCCATCAGATTTGCCCGTTCCAACTCATTTGCTGGCTTGAGCAGGAGCACGGGTGCAGATATTGACCGAAAACAGATTTCAAGGGTCCTGGTTGCAGGGCAGAAACCAATAGGATGCCCTGGCAAAAAGTGCTTCCCACTTGCGCTGGCAGGGCACTGAATTGGCCAAGGGAAGGCCTGGTGAGACGATTTGGGTGAACGGACTTCCCGCTGGAGAGCAGGTGGTAGTGGAGGCGCTTTGCCACACCTCGGAAGGGGGGAGGGCGTGAAGGGTGTTCGCGACAGCAGGCGTTCTGGCAACATCCAACAACAACTTGCATGTTGGTAGGCTGTGTTTGTAAGTTAGATTTTGTAGCCACAGGGCGCCATACCGCCAAAGCTCTCCAAACGAGATACAGCCAATCTGAAAGCGCAAGCAGCAGCAGCAGCAGCAGCAGCAGCAGCAGCAGCAGCTGTGAGAGCTCAGGTTGCTCTCCACAAAACAGGTAGCAAAAGGCGCGCGCCAGTGCTGTTACCAATTGTACGTTTGGCATGCAAGCCTGCCACAGATCTGGAAACAAGAGAGCGCATTCAGCCCGCTTTTGCCGCTTGACGGACGGCTACACCACCATTGCAGTCAGAGTGACCTGCCGTCAGGTGATAGCCGCCAACTGCGTTGGAAGATCAGAGCCTGCATTTCTGCGACTGGT